ACCAGCAGCAGTGACTGCTAGAGCGCCCTGGGCTCCAACCTGCTGTAGCCTGTGTGCGGGGAGCGGGGCTGGCACGGGTGGCACATGTGGATGGCAAGCGGCCGGTCACTCTGGCGTTTGCTGTGCCCTCCCTAGCGTGCCTGGCGCCGAGCTGATGGGCAGGATGCCACGCGGGAGCACCTGTTGATGGCGCTGGCCGATATCGACCTCTTCATGATCCGGGCATCGTACATGGACAGGCCGGCGGAGAGCAGGTAACGTGGGCGCCGGGGACCGGCCCTGGTATCGGGCTCCAGCCTGGCAAGAGGCAGCGGGGGGCTCGGAGCAGGGGAGAAGCCGTCTTTGCTGGTGTCTCAGCTGTGCCCGTTCTGTGGGGAAAGGGCCAGTCTGCCAGGCTGAGACACGGTGCCAGCTATGACCGCTCCCCAGCCTTGTGCATACCCCACACGCATGCACCATACACACACACACATGCACCACACGCACACCACACATGCATCACACTGTGCACATGGACATGCCACACACACAAGTGTGCACACACCACACACACGCACCCCCATCCCAGCCTCACAGACACACCCTCCGCACCAGACCCGAAACTCTTCTGCCAGTACCAGTGCAGCTCCCTGCTGGGGAGCCAGAGGCTGCAAGTTTTGGGCTCCCCCCCTTCTTGCCCCCTGAAGCCTTCCTGCTCTTGACCCTGGCAGAGCCTCGGAGGAGGCCCTCCCTGGCAGTGGCGTGGGGCCCAGCTGATCTGGGGGGTCGGAGGCTGTTCCTTGGCCCGACGTGCCAGAGGGCAGTGCGATGGGACAGCAGGAGAGAGGCTGCTCTGAATTCAGCCGCGGTAGCTGCCTCTGCCTGCAGCATGGGTTGCTCCAGGGACCCCCCTTCTCAAGCTGCTCTGTACCCCTCTGAAAGGCGGGGGTGCGTCCCCTCTGCCGGGACAGGTGGGCATGGAAGGCTCCTGTCCCCCAGACGGGCCCACGCACAGAGGCTCCAGGATGGAGGGTGACCCTCGATCTCGCCGTCTCACCTGGGATCCCGTGAAGTCTGGCTGTGACCCTTGGGAGACCCCGGCCGGGGCCAGGGACTGCCTGTGCCCAGGCAGCCTGGCCCAGGCCTGTCTCTAAGCGGATGCTGAGCTCCCTCCTGGCCTCTTGTCTCCCAGGCTCTCCAACATCCACATGGACGTGGCTGTGCCCCATGCCACTGGCCTGGAGCGCGCGGAGGAGGTGGAGGAGTGCACCTGTCCCCCTGGCTACCGCGGCCCTTCCTGCCAGGTGAGTCTGGCCCTGGAGTAGGCAGGAGCCCATCCCCACACACAGGGCAGCAGCGCCCCCTCTGGCTGGGGGGCAGCCTCCTCCGTGGCATTGGGAGCCATGCAGCAGGGGCATCTCCCAGGTCCAGAGACGACGACGCCTGGCGCTAGATGGCAGCTGTGGAGCGCAAGCCCACTGCTCCTCCCTCCAGCTGCTGGGCAGCCCAGCTGGAGGGGCTGGTGTCCTGCCGGTGCCAGGCCTGGGTGGCAATGGGGCCCTCACTGGCGTACAGGGAGGCAAGGAGCGGTCCCAGTGTTGGGGAGACTCTGTCACCTCGGGGCAGTGTCTGAGCCGTATCATGGGGGTCGGGCAGCGTGCCCCATGCCAGCATGACAGCTGCACGGCCCATTTGGAACCAGAGGGCCAGGGGGTCCATAGCCCGTGCTGAGTTAGTCTGATCCATGTGCCAGACCAACCTCTCTGCTGCTGTGTTTGGCGCTGACTCTGGGGGGGGAGGGGGCAGGGCGCATGGAGGGCGGTGTTGTAGCAAGAAAGGCCGCAGCCTCCCGGCCATTCTGAGCACGGAGTCCAAAGGACAAAGCTCCCTGGGAGACCCTCCCTTGGCCTGAGCTGGAGGGAGGGGTCTAGGGGTGGCATACCTTGCCTGGCATCGGGGGAGGGTCCCAGCCCTGCCTGGCGCCCAGGCCCCGGGGGAAGGTCCTAGCCCTGCCTGGCGCCGGGGGAGGGTCCCGGCCGTGCCTGGCGCCGGGGGAGGGTGGATTTAGGAACCCACTGGTCCTGTTCTCTCCCCCAAGGACTGCGATGTGGGCTATGCTCGCACCACCAGCGGCCTCTACCTGGGTACCTGCGAGCGCTGCGACTGCAGCGGGCACTCGGGCGAGTGTGATGCCGAGACGGGAGACTGCCAGGTGAGCCCTGCCCCTGTGAGCCGCCCATGGCTGGCGCTGCTGCCCTATCTGGGGCGGGTCCACGAGGACGTTGTGTGACTCAGCAGGGATGTCCCCTGCCATGTGACATCCTGCACTCTGCCCTGGCCTGGCTGCTCCCAGGGGTTTCTGTGGGGCTTGGAGCAGAGGGCCTGTGCCCAGAGCCATGCCAGCCAGCTCCCCTCAGGGACCCCTCGGTGAGCTCCCTGGCTCTGAGGGATGAGGCTGGCCTGGGACAGGCAGTGGGTGCCAGCGACCTGTGCAGCACCTTGTGGGGTATCTGGGGCTCCAGGTTCCTGGGCAGGTGCCGGGCTGCAGTGAGAGTGAGGGGGCGTCAGGGTGGTGCTGGCAGGGCCTGGCTATAAGAGATAAGAACATAAGAACAGCCAGACTGGGTCAGACCAAAGGTCCATCTAGCCCAGTCTCCTGTCTTCCGACAGTGACCAATGCCAGGTGCCCCAGAGGAAATAAACAGAACAGGTAATCATCAAGTGATCCATCCCCTGTCGCCCATTCCCAGCTTCTGGCAAACAGAGGTTAGGGACACCATCCCTGTCCATCTTGGCTAATAGCCATTGATGGACCTATCCTCCATGAACTTATCTAGTTCTTTTTTGGACCCTGTTATAGTGTTGGCCTTCACAACATCCTCTGGCAAAGAGTTCCACAGGTTGACTGTGCGTTGTGTGAAGACATGCTTCCTTTTGTTTGTTTTAAATGTGCTGCCTATTAATTTCATTTGGTGACCCCTAGTTCTTGTGTTATGTGAAGGAGTAAATAACACTTCCTTATTTACTTTCTCCACACCAGCCATGATTTTATAGACCCCTATCATATCCCCCCTTAGTCGTCTCTTTTCCAAGCTGAAAAGTCCCAGTCTTATTAATCTCTCCTCATACGGAAGCCGTTCCATACCCCTAATAATTTTTGTTGCCCTTTTCTGAACCTTTTCCAATTCCAATATATCTTTTTTGAGATGGGGTGACCACAGCTGCATGCAGTATTCAAGATGTGGGCGTAACATGGATTTATACAGAGCCAATATGATATTTTCTGCCTTATTATCTATCCCTTTCTTAACGATGCCCAACTTTCTGTTCACGTTTTTGTCTGCCGCTCCACATTCAGAGAACTATCCACTATGACTCCAAGATCTCTTTCTTGAGTGGTAACAGCTAATTTGTACCCCATCATTTTATATGTATAGATTCCTTCTCTTTCCTTCTCAGAACTGCCAGGACAACACCGAGGGCACCAGGTGTGAACGCTGCCAGCAAGGTTACTATGGCGACGCCCGACGAGGGACCCCAGCGGACTGCAAGCCCTGCCCATGCCACAGGCCATACGCAACCAGCCAGTACGTCCCCTGACAGCCTGGGGCAGTCCCACCTCACAGGGCTTCTGCTCACTCCATGTCTTGTGTCTGTCGGTCCATGGGGTGGGCTGCGGGGTGGACAAGGCTGGGCCAGGGGCAGGGCTGAGCTGGGCATGACTCTTCTTCATCCTCTTCTCAGGACCACGAAAACCTGCTTCTTGGACACGGACGGACAGCCCACGTGTGATGCCTGCACCACGGGCTACATGGGACGCCAGTGCCAGAGGTACAGGGGGTGCCAGTCTGTCCCTGCCCAGACACCACTCAGGGACTGCCCCATGTGCCCTGCTTGGCTCACCTGAGTGTCAGTCTGTGCCCGCCCTGAGGGTCTGGGGCTGTGGAATTGGCACTGACCTCATGGTGCCAGGGGTGCCCCCGAATGCAAGTGTAGGTCACTGCTCTGGGAGCCCAGCAAGGCTTCTGACACTGGCAGTTGGAGAAGGGAACCCCTCTAGGCCTAGCTAGCCCAGCACAGCCTGTCTCCTGCAGAGTCGAATGGGTCTCGGAGCCTGGCCATGGGGTGCCAGGGCTCTGGGGTTGGTTAAGGACTGTGGGGCTGGGGCAGGGGGCTCAGTTGGGAAGGAACCTCCTCCAGCCCTAGTGCTGGGGCCAGGACTCCCCATGCTCCTGCCCAGCAACCAGCCCCTGAATGCTCTGGGGGGGGGCCTGATTCTGGAAGCAGCACGAGGGCAGCAGAGATACAAAGAGCCAAACCAGAGTTGGGGGGG